AGTGATCACATATCCAGCAATCACAGATGGGGGCAAGAATAAAGTATTCTGCAGAGAAACTAATTGCTAATGCAGCTCCTACATGCGAAAATAACCTCCACTGCATTAGGCTGTTTTCTTTTTGACAGAAGCTACATGCATTTTTGTTACCTTGTGCATCTTGTATCTGGCTTATAGGCTCATATTCCAGGCAGATTTACTTCAGATTACTTCAAATCCATAAGTCAATAAAAATCATTGTGAAAATTGGAACAGTCACACTCATTTCCTTGAGTGGTATTGGACTGAGATCCACGCAGAGTCACATGCAAACTTTTTCACATGGAAGCATGAGTGGAGTCCAAAGTTTAAGACCCTGCAGATTCAGATTGTTGTCCATGTATGTTCTACTCCCCGGAGATGGAAGAGAAGCCACAGCTGACCTCATAAGAGATCTCTGTTCTGGTGCAAGGAGCTACCTCTGACAGGAAGTAGAGCAGTCCACAGGAACAGAAACAAATCAAAGATTTAGGCCGAAGGACATCTCCTTGACAAGACAGCATTGCTGCCAGAGTGATAAACAGGATCTCTTGTGATCTGTGGGATGCTAGCAAAAAGTCCAGGGTCAGCGAGATAGAGCAGATTGTTTCCCTTAGACTGGTCTGTTATTGAAGAAAGCACAGCAGTCCAGCTTATTTTCCTAAATGATTAACTTCACTGCCTTTTCTGCTCAGCACATCAGATAAAGAAGTTTATTCAGTTAGCTTATTTATTTGCATTCCTTTGCCAAAGATCTCACCAAACAAAGCCTATTTGATGATTTATTCTTTGCTAAAGGGGAAGCTTATTTACAATAATCATCTTATCATAAACGTCTTAAAAGGAGGATTTGAAACTGGAATTCATAATAACAGAGAAATCTGACTTTTCCAGAGAGGTCATATTTGTTATCCATTTTGCACTGCAGAAAAAGAAGCCAGCTGAGCCCAGATGAAGCTGGATGTGGCATAACTGCTTTGAAGTTTTTTTTGTTTTCACTGGTTGACCCACATCCTGCTGGAAGGAATCACCTTCACCTATTGGGAGCCATTCCAAAATATGAGAGCGGGAAAAGCTATAAAGGGTTCAGATGCTGGGTCCTACAGAGGGGATTGAGCAGCACAGAAGTTGCACTGGAGGGATCAGCTCTAGTGCAAACAGCAGAGAGTCAAGAAGTGCAAAGATGATTTCTGAGGGACACCTCTGCAGTGAGCAGCACATCAGGCTGAGGAGGAGCTGAGAGCACATCACACTCTGCCTTGACTTGGCAGCAAGCTCCAGCATTCTCAGGTAGCAGCAGTATCTGATTGCTTGGATGCCAGACTCTGGCTGCTGTCATCTCCCTGATGAGATGTTTAAGATGGACATAAAAGTGTCTCAAACCTGCCTTATGCCACCCCTCCTGATCCCACACAACTACAGTGTTTTGGCAGATGCTGAGCCAAAGTCTCAAGAGACAGAAGACAGACTTGCAGGGAGGAGATGGAGCAGGTCAGCTCCATGTCTGTTGTTTGGCACCAGCTCTTTGCTTTGCCCTTCTCTCACTGCTCCCCTGCTCATGCAGAGCATGTCCTAAGGGTAACAGATGCTGGGAGAGAAAACAAATTTTAAACAAGAATTTTGTTTATATTTTGTTTTAAAATAAAGGGTGCCTGAAAGCCATAAGCCAGGGCACATCTCTCTCAGCAGGTTTGAAGAGAAGGTTTAAGCACACACTGGACTGCCCTGACTCCCATTTTTTATTTTGGGAACATGTCTGAACTCATTAGCTCTTGATAATACACTCATTATTTTAACTATCCATAGCAGAGCATAGCATGAGAGACTAACTCTTCCCTGAATTAATCTGGCTTTCAGCTGCCCTTCATGATCCATAGGAGGACTGTACTTCTGCACCCCTGTGAGGTCAGAAATAGAAGAGCAGAGTATCATACAAACAGCAATTTCAGCCCAGCTGCACTGAGCAACATATGAACCTCAAAGACATGGCAGTAGTGTGGAAAAAAAAGAAAAAAAAGCTGGTCACACAGCAAATGCCTCCCACAGAAACCAGGCTGGAGGCACCCAAGGGGAGGACAGGCTGGATTTGTATCTGCCTGATGCAATGTGCCTGTCTGCCCTGCAAAAGCTGGGTGGTTGTGTGCAACATGAGAAGGGAATATCAGAGAAATTTTTGACACAGAAGGATTTAGCCACGTGAAGGGGGAAAGAAATTCTCTCTGGCAACACAAGTGAGGAGTGGCTCTTTGATTCCTCTCAGTCATTCACACAGAGAATAATTTTCAGAGGTGTTGAGTTTATTCCTCATCAGGTGTTTATTGCTATCAAAGAAGAAACTGCACATCTTCAGGAATGTCATAACTGCTCAGGCATTTGTCAACAAAGCCCTGCTGGAGAAAAGCCATGCTGTTTCCAGAAATGAAGCTGAGACAACATGAAACATCAGTTCTGTGACTGAAGTGTCACAACACAAGACTTCACTAGAACAAGCATCTATGGTCATCTTTTCTATTTTTAGATGCACAAGGACACCAAGCCACTTTCCCCCAAAACATCATACATATTGTTTTAAAATCCCATTGTTTTCAAAAGGATTAACTACACAGAGACTTTCACTGTTTGAGGAAGCACTTCATTGAGGCTGAAGTCTCTTTTCAGTTCTCATTCCCCTTACACCAGTGTAGCATTTGGCCACAGCTGCAGTGAAGAGAGAGCAGCAAAATCAGGTCGATGGGTTTGGACAGGGTATTACCCAGTCCCGACTGACAATGTGTTGGAGCCCTGGAAACTGAGAATTTTAGACTTTCTGGGCTGACAAGCACTGACTCCCAAGAAAACACTACTTTTGACCTGAGGCCATGGAAAAAACTTCCAAAACTGAATGATAAAACTGGAATCACGAGTGTGTAGTTTAAATAAAAGTGTGTAATATCACATGATGAAAAACTTAGAATTTAAGGGTTTAGGGTATAATAATTTATATATAACAAAATAAAAGTTTTAGGGCAAAGGTTTTGTCCTTTACTATCTTCATTCATACTTCTCACCTAAGGGTTTGGCAGGATGTCAGCTCTGGAGCCCACACAGGAGAAATGCAGATTCCCAAAGCATCTCCCAGAGACAAGACACAAAGAGAGGCTGAAGCTATGGCAATGGTCTAATTTTTCTCAGCTGAAGTTAGATTTACACCTGCAGGTTTTAATGGAGACAGTTTGTATGGTTTTAGCCAACATGTGTTTTCTAGCTGTTGTGCTCAACTTTTCCCTCAGGCCTTGCATCTATGCCATACTGCAATTAGCCCAACCACATGGATAGGGTCACTGTCTTCATCATTTTGGACTGACTCTATCCAGGATCCATGTAAATGATGACATTTTCCTGTTAGCACATGTATCACAAGTCTGAGCTGTAAAGGCAAGTTTCACACCATCTCAAGAAACAAGTAAGAATACATGTGCATGCTTCTGGGGAAAAAGCACTCAAGGATGTTTTCCTATTTCCAGATGGAAGAAGACGAAAAAATAACCAAACTTGGAGAGTGCCTAAGTACTAGTGGTTAATGACAAGCCCAGAGACTTGACTCTGTCTTGTCCAGAATGAGCTGGAGGCTGTTAGCCCATTGCTAGGGGAAGACTAGATTCAATCAGCCCTTTCTGCAACTGGATGATTTACAGGAAAACAAACAAACAAACAAAGAGTGCAGTATATTAACAGCAAGTGGTATTTGCTATACATCTGTATTTGCTCCCTGTACAGAACAAACTGGAAAAGGATATGAAATAACCAGTGTCCCTTGTCCACACTCATGTATGTCCTCAGGACACGATCTGCTGTATAAAGACAGTAACCAACTTGTTCTTGCAGATTCAGAGTTGGGATAGAAACACAAGGTGGGTTTGTTCCCTGCAGGTCTTAGGGAAGCTCCATCTGGCAGGCAGTGCGGTGCCTCACAAATATCTCACAAGTGCATGCATAACATGCCATCAGAGCTCAATAAAATAAATTGGAAGGAGACAAAGTAATTTTCAGAATACAATTCACAGGATGCACAGGATGATTTACAGAAGCTAGAGGCTTCAAGCTGACAGGAAAATAGCTCCTCACAAATTACTTATCGTTCAGGTCAGTCAATTGAGAGAAATATAGGTTGGTCAAGAATTGCTACCAAGGTGTGATTTGTATGCAGAAAGGCTGCTGCTCATTGCAACATCTCTCTTGTAAAATATGGACCATGAATATGTATGTTCCCTAGAACAACAGAGTTGCTTGTTTCCCTACTTTATATAGATTTGCAAGCCAATATTTTACTGACTGAAAAAGGCCAAAAGTTCTGAAGAATGAGTATTTCCCTTCCTTTGATTAACAAATCAATTACAACAACAGTGCCCCTTTTCTGCTCAAGTTACTAAAAAAGGTACAGGGTACAGCTTACTCTTGATTTTTCTTTCTTCACTGTTCTCAAAACACTCCTAGAAGTCACAGTAAACAAAAGTTTCAATATATTGGTACAGCAAAAACCTGTACCAATATCATCTGGCAGCCACCAGATGCAAATTTACAACTTCTGTCACAGCAAGCCATGCCTGAAGAATGAATCTAATTTAAACCTGGATCTGAGGTCCTCAGTCCTCTTTTTAATAATTACTGACTTGGAGCACCATCACTGAAAGCCCATGCTAGCATATACAGGATGTCAGGAAAGGTACTCTGGATTTCTGAGGAGCATCTGGCATTTCTGTAATTCAGACACAGAATGGAGTTACTAACCTGCACATCCACCATCCAGGACTGTGCCTTCACTCTGGAGCTTCATTTATCTCCCTTTTGAGAGATGACCTTGATAGTACAAACCATTTTTCCCTTTGCAGATTAACAGCTGGAATATCATCTTTTGGCATTATTTATAGTGCATCATATGCTCATATCCTTTCAAATTTATAGACAACACTTCAGTTTGAAATGAAGAAAAACAAAGAAACAGCTGCAATCTTCACTGGTTAACTTTTATTCAGTATTTTCTGAAATAAGCAAGAATTTAGGACGCCCATAAGCGATCAAATACAGCCACAAAAACCCCATACTGATCCTAAATAAGAAGCACTATGAGAAATACACAATATTTCATGAAACAATACTGTACATCAACAACCTTTAGGAAACAAACAACTCAAACCATATGCTTAGTTTACTCACAATATAAAAAACTTTAACCTTTAAAGAAAAATATAGATTCAGTCCAATTGTAGGATCCAATCCCATACCCAGTGAAGTCAATGGAAGTCCTCTCATTGATTTCAATGTTTAAAGGATCATGCCCTTACTTTGCCTCAAGAGGCACTTTAATTATTGTACAAGGCCTAGCCTGAATAACTATTACAAAAATGTCAAACATCAACTCAAGAGTATGTTTTAGCAACTTTCAGGAAATAATGGAGGAATAGGTTATCTATCCATGCATGGAATAAGGCAAAAGCTAATTCATTCAGATTAGGAATAATAATTTTTACTAGTTTCTTTTTCACAACACAAACATTTTAGACTTTTTTAATTAATGGATATATTATATATCATATTATGCTTCACATTTTTCCTACCTCTACTGAGAAAGCTGGCACTGACATTTCATAAAGAACTCCTCATTAATTACTGTTTTCTGTTCTGTAACAACCACAAGAAACTCATCTGGGTTTAGTAATAGTGTCTACCAAGAAAAAAGCACACACTATCATAAGCTTATAGTTTATAGAGCTCAAGGTACATTAAAATGTAAATCATGAAGTTCACAAATTCTGTTTTAAAATATTTTTCCAAACTAAAAGCTGCAGAAAATTGGTTCTTAAATATTCTACAGAAAATTCTGAAGCATCTAATGGTTTAAATTACTTATGCTTTCTTCTTAAAAATATTTAAATTAGGTTAGTAGCCCATCCTTTTGAAAAATAATCCAAAAAAGATACACTAGATTACAAATCTTTTGTTTTAATCAGTGTAACCAAAGGTTTGTCATCTGGGCTGTAATCTTCATAAGCAATGGGGGTTGCATCATACATTGCAGGTCGGGATTTCTTGCCAAACCTGGAAATAAAAGAAAACGTTTGGTGACAAACAGAAATATAAATGAATTCAAAGCAACAATGCAGTGAGTTATGGCCTGTGACCAGAAACGAAGCCAGAGAGCTTAGATTAAACTTTATATAACAAAAGAAATCACAGGAAAATGAGGCCAAAAATGGTCAAGTATTTTTTTTCTTTTTGACCTGATGCAGAGAAAACAGTACAGAAAATACAGAAATAGAATTATTTATGTAGTCATACACACTAAGGATTTTTATGCATTTATGTACTATATTAAGCCTATATTCATTTACATTGTGCATACTGGAAAGTGAAAGCTAGAAAATTCAGATTTTGAGGATAATATTTAGCCCAAACCAAAATTAACTTGATTTTCTTCCAAGACTTTTATGCAGATTCATGATTTCCAATTTCATTCTTGACTGTTTTCAGTGATTTAGAATTGCAGGCAAAACTGAAATGGCTGAAAGAATTATGATATATATGGTGAAAATTTCATTTTTCAAAGTACTTCAGCTGTCCATAAGGTTACACTAGGTTCATTCCTCTGCATGAATGTCTGCCTTCTTCTGTAGGTTATCTTAATAAACACAGACAGGTCACATTTGCTCATTCCCATCATGATGGATAAACCTGATTTTCTACAAATGAAATAAAATTTCAAGAACTGAATGAAGGAATCAAGTCATGGCATCTTACTAAATCAGAGGCAGCATTGAATTCTGAATCACCTTTTTCTACCATCACTCTCGAGGGTTTAAAGAAAATGGAGCTTTGCAGAGATACTAATGATGGTGAACATTCTCCAGAGATTTCAGTCAAAGTCTACCTGCCCTTTCTGACAGTAGAGAGCACATGGCTTCTTGCACACAGTGAAGCAGGACAAAATCTGTTTTCTCCTTTAGGTCAGGGTTGACATGTGCCCCTCATTAGAGAGGGCTGAGAGAAGAGCACAGCACATGTGCAAGTTGTTTATGGTCTGGTTGAGCCAGAGCTGCTCAACCACATTGCCTTGATCAGGTGCTTCAGAACTCAGTCACTGCCCAAAGCAACAAACAAACAAAGTTATCACCAACCTCAGAGGTTTATGTTACAGACAGAAGTGTTAAATGGGAACTCTGTTCAGTGAGTGTGCATAGGAACTGACAAAGTAATTATCACTACAATGTGCAAGAGGCTATGATTCAAGGGCTAATCAATGGTGAAGATGCATATTCTTGCTACAGAGGGTGCTGGATCAATTAACTGCATGCTTACAACAAGAGTAAATACAAACAAGTGAATAAAGGTTTTTTTCCAGGGCAACCAAACATAAGATTATTCATCTAACAAAGAGTATGCACTGCATGGGGAAATCTCAATCCTGGGAAGCACTGAGTGTGGAAAAAAACTGGAGGGACATGATGGATAATCATTTTAACGTTAGCTTCAATGCCATGCTGTGAACAATGATGTGCTTGGGTTGATAAATAGCGTAGCAGTAGCACTGGGGAAGTTCTTCAGGCTCAACATTTAGCATTGGTATGTCCATTCATGGGTGATGATTGTAATGTGTACATCAGACAGGCTTACCAGTGTATAACAATAATACACATCACAAAGATATTCACAAAGCAAAGTACATGAAATAACAATCAGAAAACATATTTTTCAATGAAGCATTGAATAAGAGAGACCTGTGTAGCTTGAGAGAGAAACTGCAGGTTCCATGACAATTCTGAGGACAGTACATGTTCATTGCAGCAATTCTTGGCAAAGGCAGCTCTGTGTGTGTGACAGACACTGCAAATCATCTTCACATTTGGAATGGTCCTGCTCCTCCACTTCCTCAGAGCAACATTTCAAGAGATGGCTAACTACAGCGTTATTAACCTCAGCAACTCCATCAAGTAGATTTTTGAGAACATTGAACGGCTGAAACCTGAGGAAATGGTATCTTCTGACTTCTGTGGGACGGGCAGAAGTTCAGAGTTCAGCCAGAAACAGAATAAAGAAACCAACCACATGTTGCTACTCTGCTCAAAACCAGCAACTGGCAAAAGGAGTCCACAAATAAAATTTAAACAAGAGAAGTAATCTATAAAAGGAG